CACAGGACAGAGCGGAGTTTAGGGCTGTTGTACATAGGGTCGCTATGAGTCGCAGGCGACTCGACGGCACATAACAACAACAACAACAACACCCATTCATGTTCAAGCATGGTGTTCTTCAGCTTCAAAATGTATGTTTTTTTCTTCTTATTCCTCTTGTTACTAATTTTTAATTTTGTAGCATTGTGGTCTGAGAAGATGCTTTGTATTATTTCTATACTTCTGAATTTATTGATGCTTGCCTTCTATCCTAAAATGTTATCTATTCTGGAGAATGTTACACATTGTAGAAGAAGAGATACTGTGCTCATTTTGGGTGCATTAGCCTATAAATATCTGTGAGATTGAGTTGGTTTATAGTGTGGTCTAATTCTTAAGCATCTTTGTTGAGTTTCTTTCTGGAAGTTCTATCTTCTCTTGAGAGTGGTATATTGAAGTCCAACTATTGTAGTAGTGTTGTCTATTTCCTTTTTCAGTTTTGTTAATGTTTGTTTTATTTATTTTGCAGGTCTTTCATTTGGTGCATAGATATTTATTATTGTTATATTCTCTTGTTCTATTGGCCCTTTAAGTATTACGTAGTGTCCTTCAATGTCCTTTGTGATGGTTTTGGCATTGAATTTTATTATATCAAAGATTAATATCACTATTCCTCTTTTTTTTGTTGCCATTTGCTTGGTATCTTTTTTCCCCACCTTTTTATTTTTAGTTTTTCTATATCTTCATTTTTCAGGTGTGTCTCTTTTAGATAGCATATTGTTGAATTTGGGGGTTTTTGTCCAATCTGCTACTCTTTTTCTCTCCAGGAGTGCATTTAAACCATTCACATTCAATGTGATTATTGAGAAGCAAGGTTTTATTGCTATCATTTTTGTTCTTTTTGGTGTTGCTGCTAGTTACGTTGGTTCACCCTGCTTCTGTGTCACCTCTATAAGAAGGACATCTCTCAGTGTTTCCTTCAATGCTGGCCTTGGTTTTACAAACTCCCTTATGTTCTGTTTTTCTGGGAATATCTTGATCTGTTATTCATATTTGATGGACAATTTTGCTGGGTACAATATTCTTGATTGACAATTGTGTTTTTGAGTGTTCTATATATGTCATTGCACTGTCTTCTTACTTGCACTGTTCCTGCTGTAAAATTGGCACTTCATCTTACCTGCTTTCCCTTATAGCTTACTGTTTGTTTCTCCCTCACTGCTTTCAGTATTCTCTCCTTATCTTTGGTTCTGGCAAATTTGACAATGATATGCCTTGTTGTTTCTCTTTTGGGGTCTATTCTATAGATGTTTGCTCAGCTTCTTGAATATATATTCTCTCATTCTTCATTTTGCCTGGGAAATTTTCTTTTAGTAATTCTTCCACAACTTTTTTGGTGCTTTTACTTGCTTCTTCCTGTTCTGGGATTCCGATTATGAGCATGTTATTTCTCTTGATAGCATCCCACATTATTCTTAGGTTTTCTTCTTTTTCCTTGCTTTTTTATTCTACTTTTTGCTCTAGCAGATCAGTGGTGACAAGTCTATCTTCTATTTCACTGGTTAGGTCTTCCATCCCTTCAACTCTGTTCATGTGTTTCTTCATAATGTTGACAGAATCTGAAACATTGGTCCTCATATTTTGGATTGTGATTTCTTGTTTTTCCAGAGATTCTAATGCCTCATTTGCTTTATCTGCATTGTTTTGGATTGATTTTTTTAAGCTCTTCCTGGTTTTTGTTTGTGGTGTCCTGTAATTCCTCAAGTTTGTCTTTTACCCTTGAAAATATTCATTTATTGTTCTTTTAAATTTTGTGTCAGAATGTTTCATCAGACTTTCTGGCTTCATGAAATCAATTGGTACTGGGTCACTTTTTTGGGGTGACATCTTGCATAGGTGGGCTTGCATAGATGGTGAAGTAGCCTACTTCCTACATGACATTGCCGTGGTAGAAGTTTTTATGTCTGAAGCAATAGCTGTTTCTTGATCTGAAGTCATCCAGTAGAGGGTGGCGCATCTACCCTGCATGAGTTTCTCTCAGTTCAGTGGAGTAAAGGCCTGTGTAAACAGCCTCCTCTGTCAGACAACTGCCACAGCTAGGGTAGTCCAAGGTGCTCTGGGTTAAATGCAGTGAATGGACTGGACATGAGGAGACGCAAGGCAAAGTGTGGAGACCTGATTGGAAAACCAGGAAGTTGTTGGTTTTCCTTTCAAGAATGAGCTCCAGCTGTTTCACTCTCTTCTGATTGAGTTTAAGGGGTTCCATGTGATCCAGTCAAACAACAGTGACACCACCACCTTCACCACCACCACCACCAAAGCACCTCATTCAAGTTCCAGCATTGCTCCAGTGTGCATCGGGAAGTTGTGTTCTGGGCACAGGCTGGCAGTTGTTAGTATTAGAGTTCCAGACATGGGCTGGTGATGACAGGCCTGGAATTGCAGGCTCACACCCACTCAGGTTCCAGTGTCATTCCCTGATGCATGTTCAGCAGCTCTCTGGCACATGTGTGGTGTCAGGAAGCAGCTCGACAGTGCCTGTGTGGTATCAATAAGCAGCTTACCGGCAGGTGTCTAGCATCAGCAAACAGCTCCCTGGTGCCTATCTGTCATCAGGAAGCAGCTCCATGGCACCTGCATGGCATCAGCAAGCAGCTCCTCAGGGCATGGGTGGCATCAGCTAGCAGCTCCTTGCTGCATGAATGGCTTCAGCTAGCAGCTCCCTGGCATGCATCTGGCATCAGGAAGCAGCTCCTTTATGCCTGCGTGGAATCAGCAAGCAACTCTCTGGCATGTGGTGACAGTTGCTTTTAACTTCCCTCACTCATACTCAAGCTGTATGTCTTGCTGCCACATCTTGCTGCTGTGTCCGATAGTCTAGTCTTCTTGAAGACTGAAGTCCTTGACTTTTCACAGCAAATGCCTCAGGTCCTCCTTAGTTTTGGTAAGCAAGGTTCTGTCATCTGCATATCTCAGATTGTTGATGAGTCTTTCTCCAATCCTGATGCTGCATTCTTTCTCATAAAGTCCATCGTTCTGATTGATCTGTTCTGCATATAGATTAAAAAGGTATGTAGACAGGATGCATTCTTGATGCACTCCTTTTCTGATTGTGAACCATGAAATGTTTTCTTGCTCTGTTCTATTGATTGCTTCCTGATCCAGGTATAGGTTTTGCATGAGCACAATTGGGTGTTCAGGCATTCCCATTCGTCTCAGTGCTAACCACAATTTGTTGTGATTCACACAGTCATATACCTTTGCATAGTAAATGAAATACAGATAGACATTTCCCTGGACATTTCTGCTTTCAGTCAAGATCCATCTGATACTGGCTAAGATGTACTTAGTGCCACAGTGTCTTTTAAACTCTGCTTGTATGTCTGATAGTTCTGTGTTGATGTATTGTTCAAGTCAGTTTTGGATAATATTCAGCAGGATTTTACTTGCAAGTTACATTGTTCAGTAATTTTCACACTCAGTTTGATCTCCTTTTTTTGGAATGGGCATAAATGTGCATCTCTTTCTGTCAGTTGGCCAGGTAGTTGTCCTCTAGATTTCTTGGCACAACCAGGTGAGCATGTCCAGGGCAGCATCTGTTTGCTGAAATATGTCATTTGCATTCCATCAATTCCTGGGGCTTTATTTTTATGCCAATTCTTCAAAATAGCTTGAACTTCCTCCTTCAGCACTTGATCATATGTTGTTTCATGAAATTCTTCTATTTCAGTCAAATCTTTTTTGGTACTGTGACTCTGTGTATTCCTTCCATCTTCTTTTGATGCTTCCTCAATCATTAAATATTCTGCCCATAGCATTCTTAAGTATTGCAACTTGAGGCTTGAATTTGTTCCTCAGTTCCTTCAGCTTAAGAAATGCTGAGCAAGTTCATCCCTTTTGATTTTATGACTCCAGTTCTTTTCACTTTTCATTGTAATACTTTGCTTTGTCTTCTTGATCCGCCCTTTGAAATATTCTGTTCAGGTCCTCAATTTCTTGATTTCTTCTCTTTGCTTTGGCTTCTCAGTGCTCTAGTGCAATGCAACATTTAGAGTCTTTTCTAACATTGATCTTGGTCTTTTATTCCTCTTTTGTCTTTGTAATGATATTTTGCATTCTTCATTGTCTTCGTTCATTAGTGTTCAAGGCCTCAAACCAGTTCCTTAGATTTTTTTCCCCCCATTCAGGTGGGATAGACTCAAGGTCAAATTTTAGTTATTGTGGCTTTGTTTTCATTCTCTTAAGCTTCAACTTGAACTTGCAAATGAGCAATTTGTCGGTTCCACAATCATCACCTTATCTAGTTTTCACATCTGATATTGAGCTTCTCCAGAGATTCTTCTCACCGTTGTAATCAATATAATTCAGATCAATCCATCAGATGAGGTCCATATGTATATTTGTTATTTGTGTTTCTACTAAAGTTATTTATGATTAATAAATCATTAATTATTAAAAATAGGCCTTTCTGTCTTGGCACCAAGTTATCTGACCTCCTCTACTCCTGGGATGGGAGGAAGGGCAGGAAATGTACATTGCACATGGGGTAGCCTGTTATGTAGGCTTTGGAATCTAAAATCAGCTGGAGGAGAGAGTTTCACTTTCCCTCAAATACCATGGTAGGTAGAAGCATATGTATTAGAAGTTTTGTACTCCAAGTCTGGTGTGTCCTAGGTTCTTTTAGATCCTTTTTTTCTAGCCATGGACCAGGGTTAAACAGTCTTGAGGTCCTGCCTTGGCCAGTATAATTTTTCTTGTCTCCATTTTAGGGATTTCTGGTTTTATTAGTTTTCTGTTGCTGGACAGAAGGGAGCTTTGGTGGCCTAGTAGTAAGAAACTGCTCTATAATCTCAAAGGCACTCTGTTCAAATCCACCAGCCACTCCTTGGGAGAAAGATGGGCAATCTCCTCCCATGCAATTTACTGCCTCTGAAAACTCACTAGAGGGTCAGTCACTATGGGTCGGTGCTGACTCGAAGGTACACAACAACAACAATATTACTGGATAACAAATTACAACTTATACAGCAACGATTTATTAGCTTACACTTCTGTAGGTCCGAAGTATGGCACAGTTAGACCGACTTTTCTTCTTGTCAAGGGATCATCAGGCAGCATTCTCATCTGGAATTCAGGGTCCTTTTTTGAACTTATTTCTTTATTCATTTTTATGTGTTATATTATGTCCCTACAAATTGTATTTTTGTTCCTAACTTCTGAAGTGGTTAAAATTGTGTTTGGGAATGGGTTTTCTTTGTTAATGGGGGATTGTTAGTTTAGATTGCACCTTGCTTCAACCTTGTTTGACACAAAAAAGGGAATAGATAAAGTTAGCTGAGACAGAAAGAGATAGATGATAACCTACATGAAGATCGCTAAGAACAGGAACTGCCCCCCACCCTGAGCCAACAGAGCCTTCCCTTACTGTTAGCACCCCAAATTCAACTTCCTGGCCTCCTAAATGATGAGAAAATGAATTAATTACTCACTTAGGATTTTGTAGCAGGATTGTATCTGAGTTATCACTCAGAAATTGGTACAGAAAAGGGGACCGCTACTCTAATAAATACTTAAAATAGGCAAGCAATTTTGGAAAGGACATATTAATCATTGGGAAAAAGTATAATTTCCTTAACTGGTTTTCTCTTATCCAAATGCTTAGTATTTTCAAATAGTTCACCACTGCTAAAAGTTTATTTCTTTATTCAGTTGTCGTTTCTTTGCAAACCCTTTTTGAAGTTGTTCTGATGCCTTTCCTCAGAGGTGGCTGAGCAGTATTTCCAAGAGAGCATGGCTAATCTGAGAGGAGCTGAAGATATGAGAAGAGGCAAATTCCTTTCCATTCAAGATGAGTTTTGTCATTTCCTGAAAAGGACTGGGCAAGAAGCGGTGAGTTTGGTCAAAATAAACTAGCTATGGATGTGGATGAGCAGGATTCTCACTCAGAGTTCTAGCCAGAATCAGTGAGCAGAATGGAGTCACAGGACAACCTTAGTGGTGAACATGGCAGGATCTCGACCATGTGGCCACAGCAGGTGGAGGGGACAGAACTCATCTCCAACAGTCAGGAAATCCAGGGGAGGAAAATACTTACATTTAAGATAAAATGTTAGTGAGGCCATTGTGCCAGTTTAAGCCACCCTGTGTGGGTTTCTCTTCTGGTTGTGTCACTCTCCTGTTCAAAAACCTCCTCAGATTTTTAATTTTCTCTAGATTGTCTTATTGTAAGAAAATCCAAACTTATCTGCCTGGCGCAAGACCATCCCCCATGGGACCAGAGTGGAAGTCCACCTCATTGTCTCCTCTTCCAATGCTTTCTCTGCTGCCCAATTACTGTACTCTCTAAGCCTGCACATCTATATGCATCTTTCCCCTCACACTTCCATCCACCTGAAACTGTCCCAAACACAACACATACACTAAACTGAGTCCTTGCTCATAGACACTGGGAGGGGATTTGGTCCCTGAGAATAATGGATTTTCGCATAAGGCAAGTGTGCATTTAAGCTTTGCACCTGACCTCATATATGAAGGGGTGTAATGTTTGATACAATAGACAATTTATATAACTTCTTGATGCCAAGAGTGACTTCTTTTCACACTTAAGAAGTTTATTTCTGCCTCATCAGCATCTTTAATGTGGTTTCTCCAAGTCATACCAACAACTGATTTACATTATTGCCAATTAAAGGCTCACCATGTGGAGCCTACCTCTGCTGTGTGTGGAGCCCTGCTGGGAGGCCCTAGACGCTACGTGGCAGGCAGCACCTTCATTGTCCCTATATTCTCTGGTGGTGATTTCAACATGCATGCTCTGCACTCACCCTGTGCTTTTATTAGTAAGACTGCAGAGGAGTCTCAGAAAAAAATATCCAGCTTACAGATTCTAAAGGGCTTCTCCCTTTGTTTTATCTTGGCATCTGACTAGAAATTGATATAAGGAAATATTGCTTATTTTCTTCCTTTTTTTTCTTTTAGTTTATCTTGGTATAAATTATATGAGCCAACTAAAATGAGATGTCATGTTGGAATGTTTACTTTTCATTTTCTGACCTGTTTCCTATGAGAAATAGGAAATCCTGGATGTTATGTAAGTAGATAAATTGCCAGGAAACTGTAGTTTTCACTTATGTAAGAATATCTAGTGTCAACAGAAGAAAGAAAGCCTGGAACCAGACAATGTGAAAATTTCTGGTCAAATTCAAATCTTGGCTCTACCATTGTCTGACTGAGCCAATTTTTATGTGTGTGTGTTTGTAAATCCTAATAAATATGTATATAACAGATCATCTGCATTTTTACATTCTTCACATGTATGTTCAGTGGTACAATTTTTTTCCATTTGCCTCTTTTTTCTTTTTTTAATTGTGATTCTAACAAAAGTTTACAAAAAAGTTGGGATTTTCATTTATTTATTGTTGCACATTTTCCTCTCCCACCCAGTTCACTTTCTTTTTGTAAAAAATATCCATTCATTGTTACACAATCCCCCCCCCCCGAAAAAATCTCCTTCTCTATCCCTCCCCATTCCTCCCCTGTCCACTTTGCAATGTATTTCTTATTCTGGATTGTTGTTGTATGTATAATTTTTAATCACATATTCCTTCTAAACAATTCTTTCCCTCCCCACTCCTCCCCTGTCCACTTTGCAATGTACTTATTCTGGATTGTTGTTGTATGTATAATTTTTAATCACATATTCCTTTTAAACAATTCTTTCCTTCATATGTATGGTTTCAGTATTCATTATCCCCTCTTTTCCCCATTTTCCCCAAGTTCCCATGTCTGTCATGTTTTAGAACAGTGATGTTATATTAATTTGTCCTTTTGTAGTTGAGATATTTCACTCAGCATAAAATCCTCCAGGGTCACCCATGTTGTGTAATATTTTAGAAGTTGCTTGTTTTTCATTGCTGTGTAATATTTCATTGTGTGAACATACCACAGCTTCTCTATTCATTTCTTTGTTAATGAGCTCTGGGTTGCTTCTCCCTCTTTGCTATTGTGAATATAATAGCAATAAACATGGGTATGCATATAGCTCTTTGGGTGGCAGCTCTGGTTTCTTTAGGGTATATTCCCTGTTGAGGAATTGCTGGGTCAAAAGATATTTTTATTTCCAACTTTTTGAGACAATGTGAGACCTCTAATCAGACAGTGCTTTTCCCTTTCACAGAGAGCACTGTCCTTGCTAAAAGAGTCCTTAGGAGCCAAGGTGGAAGCATTTGGTGATTTCAGTCCTGAAGTGGCTGCGACATACCGGCTCCTGGGCAAGGCAGACCTGGCGGAGGGGAACCACAGCAAGGCCCGCAAGAAACTGAAGAAGGTAAGCAGATCTCCTTCCCTTCCAGGAAGGCACTTCCTCTCCTTCCAGCATATACTTGTTAATGACACTTTATAAGTAACTTATTCAGGTCTGCTGACATAACTCTCAATGGGATCTAATTTTCACTTTTTTGGCTAAAAAGGCAAGCAATATTTTTATGTCCTTATATGTTTAAATTATTAATAACTACTTGCAAATATTTCTAATTTTTACCTATTGCAACATTTAGAAACTCTTTCTGCACTCCTAGTTTGTAGAAGAAATTTGTTTTATTCTAGTAACTTACTTTTTTTATTAATTCAGAGTTTATTCATGTATGTGGTATGAAAATTTACCTAATATTTTTTATGCAAATGGCTTCCCAGTTGTACAACACCAGTTGGGATTTTTAGTGGTTCAAGATGACACCTTTTTTTAAAAAAAAAAGCCACTTTATCATATAAAATGTCCCTACATACTTGAGTCTATTTGTGGATTTCAGTTCTTTGCTCCTGGTCTGTATATTCAGAAACATTTCCTCACTGTTTTCATTACAGGGCAGTTACAGCATGATTTACTAGATGCAACCTGATGCCCTTCAAGGTTTTCTTTTACTCCTTGAATATGTGGATTCCTAGATATTCTTGCATGTTTGTTTAATAATTTTCCATGTGAAAGTTAGTATCAATTAGTCTGGCTACATTTATAAATGACCTTCAGAAGAATCAACAGCTTTATGACTCTGAGTCATTCTAACCAAGAAAAAGGCACATCTTTCCATTTGTTCACATTGAAATATGGATCTTTCAGGCATATTTTTATAAGAAATTTTTATTTATAATTTTTTTAGAGAGGTTTTGGATTTCCATTCATTCATTGCTGCAATTTTCTCCCTTCCCAC